AGAGAATAATACAGCACTGTACCCACAGCATAAATTTCCATGAAACCTTGATACTAGATCACTGGAACATGTTTAAGTCAAATAGTTGTGAGTAAACGGTGTAGTAAGGAGGGGGAGGTTGTGAGCCTTTTGGTTCCCTTTTAGTTTTCAATCCACACATGACAGGGGTATAAGTACAACTCTCCCTCCTCATCATGTCATGTTATAGGGATAAGTCATAAGCGTGTCAGTTATTGACTGTCAAATAATCAGGTTTTACATCATAGTAAGGAATAGGTGTGTTTTTGAGACTGACTGGTATGGCTGCCATTGCATGTCTTGCAATGCCTTTCCCTCCTAAGGAGTACCTGGCTATTTCAGGTTGTCATCCAAGTTAGGTTTCCATGACAATTTGCTAATACCCATGGACTCCTCTTGGTAAGGTGCTTTAAAAGTGAGCTGTCTTGCTGAAGAACACCACATATTGGCTGCACCATAGCTTGAAGCTGGACTGTTGAATCCAGTGTCTTAAACCTGGTCTGTTGAATCCAAAGTCCATAGCACTGACTGTTCCACTGTCTTTTTGGTCCAAATCAAGTGAATAATTTATTTATTAAAGTCCAGTGCGGGGTATAATTTGGCTATAATTTCCTCTGTGATATGTCTTGTAGTAACACCTGATTAATGTGTGAGAGGAAGCACATGATTCATATGTGACATTCTGAGAAATTAAACCTTTGGTGTGTTCTGAGAAACCTTAAGTGTTATTTGACCAGTGTACTTATCACTACAACTTTGTCAACTGGTTCTAAAAGATTTTTCTCAATGGTTAAATCAATGAGCAATCGGCCAGAGTTAAAAAAACAGAATTCCTACCAGGCTGATGCTGGAGTAATCAGAGAGCCTGTTACTTTCAGGGGTAGAAGGATACAAAAAATGCGGTCAGTTCTCTCTGTGAATTCTACTTGTAGATCTGCTAGAATTTTCCCAATGTACCTCCGAGCTATGGATATGCGAAGACGAGATGATAGGTATCTGAAGTGCTGTTTATTTCTTCTGTTTTTGGTGTCATTGTAATAAGCAGAGCAATTTAGTTGTGTTGTTAGCACTTCATGGAAATGCTTAGCTTAAAATGCTTTCATGAGTCTTTTCTCTCCAAGTATGTCTCTACTCTTTAGGATCAGGCAGTTTCCAAAGGGAGCAGTTGTTAAGTAATAGCACAATAGTTTACTCAAGGGTTTATTTTTTTATTAGGCAATCAAGTTGTACTCATAAATGTGTACACATTTGTTAGGTGATCCCCCCTACATTGTACATGTTTCTAGTTGTCATTGTAGTAGATGTTGATTGGCATTTAAAATTGCACAAAATAGAAGAATTTTTGCCAAAATTCTTAAAGCTTGGATTTATAGGACACTGGAACAAGTATTGTTTGTAGTTGACATTAATTTCTTAAAGTCTTTGTGAAAACAAACCTTTTCATGTTCTTGAGGAATTTATTTCAAGTGAAGCATGTGACTTCTTTATGCCTTGATCTGCCCTTTTCCTCCATGCAATTAACCCAAATACGTAATAGTAAAAAATGCAGTTGACCATGTAACTAATTGTGAGAAATTTTATGTTCTTAGCAGCTAACTCATGTAAAAGTGATATCTTTTTGGTGTTGAATACTTTCTGCAAAGCAATTTGTATGTATGATCTGCAAAAAAACAAAGTATGCATTGTTGTTAGCCTTCGTACAGTGTTCATATATTTGCACGTGTGAAGTATGTTGTGTGGGTGTTTACCAAACTTAGTTTTGCTAATCCTACTGTAGAGTCCAGTGCTTTGTGAAGCCAGATTTCCTCAGGGTCTGGTTAAGATCATCATGGTATACGGTACAACAAAGATAGAAAGTCACATTTTTTTTTTATTTATTTGAAAATCAATAGGTTAAAACATGTCAAAATATTTTTTTCATCTTTATTTTCACTTTCTTTTGTTCTTGTTATATCAAGTTTTTTAGCATTTGTCCTTCAACAAAGAAGATACAGTGTAGCAGTCTGACAAACTTAAAGGCTTCTAGCTGAAATAGTTAAAATACTTTACCATTTGCAATCCGTTTTTGTGCCCTAAACCTTCAGTAAAACTAGTTTCATTTGTGTTTTCTATTTTTTGTTAACCTTGAACACTCTTAAACCACTATCCTTCTTCCCCAGACTTTTCTTTATACATTTCCTTTTGTAATCAGTGAAAAGGAGAGTTCATTTAACAGTTTCAGTTTCCTACTGCAGCAGTCATTTCCTTTAATCTCATGGTTGTAAAGAATGATAGAGCAGTGTAACCGTAGGGAGAAATTAGTAGCAGATGTAGAAGGGTTAGAAAAGCAGATTCTCCAACAATTTTTCTTTGAACAAATATGTTATGTCTTAGTGTACAAGAAATTTGCAATTCCCAAGCCCATGATCTTCATTTCTTAATTTTATGTACAAACAAAGGCTAGTTTGCTGCCTCGCGTGAAATTACATGTTGCGTAATCTAAAATGTTAGGCTCTCCTAGACTATCATTTTCACATCATTCACCAAAGTGAAGAGAAGTAAAATACCTTTCAGAGGGAGCCAATTTTTCTTCACCTTGCTGGTCACTGGAAATGTTTTCTGCTTTGAAACTCATCATGCTTTTATACTGTTCTCCCACGAGCTTTTTTTGACATGCCCATGAAAGGAGAACAAATAAATTGAAGCAAGGGGATTCCTTTTACATGGCACTCCCTTCAGAGAAATTAAAATACATACTGCGAAGTGTCACATACCTTTGGGTGACACAAAGGATCAATTTCCTGTGAAAAATCCTTATAACAATGGGTGGGATGCTGTTGTCTCGTTTATCAGCTAAGAGAAAGGATGTGGAGGCCTTATATGGCAGTAACTTTCTTGCGTTACTAACAGGAAACAAGGATTATTTTACCACTCAGGTCAAATATTTTTGTTATAATTTGACACCTTTACCCTACATAGGAACTGTTTAGACAATTGTTATGTGAGTCTGTGGCTATATTACCATCTATTTTTAGATCATTGTTTCAAAAGGATTTAAAGTGTGCTCTGTGCAGTTGTCCCACAGTTTAACTAGACACTTGTCACAAGAAGTAACTTATTCAACATTCATAGCATCTTCGTATTTATTTAAAATATTTATACTCAAGGAGTAATATGCTAGGCATGACTACAGATTGTGTCACAAGCTATTTTATGGGGAGTTATCCACAAATAGAGGAACCACTGAAATGGATTTTAACCAATAATTATTCCAATTTTCAACAACATAGTGACGTCTCATCAGCCCTTGGGTTGCTGTTAGATCGCAAGGATCCAATCAAGAACATGTCAACCCCTATTACACGGACAAATTTCAAACAACAGCTGCAGCGTCAGCAGCTGGAGCAACAAGATCAGTTGTTTCAGAAGCAAGGGCCTTCTGATCTTAAAGCCCACTCACAAAGCATAGCAGTTCCCAGGACAGCATCTCCAACTGCACTGCCTCCTGATGTTCCAACCAGTGTGCTTCAGGTAGGGAGCAATCTTGAAAATTTTCAGCCACCTTCTAGCTTTTTGAACTTTTATTCAGTAGCATCGATACTAAACAGAACTCTAAGGTAAAAAAACAATGCTCATTTTAATGATGCATTGCCTGTAATTCTTGTTTGCAGTGAGCTCTGTTTTATGCAACTGGATTAAAGTTCCTTCACCGAAATAAATAGAAAAATAAGTTCTTTAAGTTAAGATAATCTTGCATCATCAACAAGAACACTTGCTTTTATTAGTGGACTTTGCACAGTTTTTTCCCTGCGTAACTCTTAGCTTAATTAATTTTGAATATTTTTTTTGTGGTTTTAACCCTAAAGGAAGCTATTTTCATGGAACAGGATGTAGTTTAAGACCTCATTCTTGTGTATGTAGTGTGTCTCTTTCCGTTTTCCTTTTCAATTTTTTTTTATCTCATGCTTTGGGCGAACATGCAAGAAGTACAGAGTTCATATTTTTTTACATGTACACTTGTTGAATAACGTTGCTGCCCTTAGGAATTGCAAATTATTTGTTGTTCTTTGTGTAATTGTCCATAAATGAATTCATTTGTGAAAATCAGAAACCCTAAATTGCAAAGCTTTGGTTTGAGATGTGTACATGCTTTTGTGAGTTGTTGATTTTTGCGGAAATATGAGAGGGTAATCAAGGTGAAATAAAACAGGAGAGATATGATTTGCCTGGGCACAGTAGAATTCACAGAGGTAATTATACCTAAGGGATTAAAGTGTAAAGTCCATTTGTAATATTTATTTGCTGTCATGTGGATTCAGAAATTCCTTTGTGTAGTTTTATGTCTGAATGTGTATGGATTGTAAATTTGTTCATTCAAATAAAGTGAAGAGTCCAAAGATTAGGCCTGGATTTACATGTGTATCAGATGAACCTGATATTTACTGAAGCTTGACCTTTAGTGACCCTGAGTGTCTTCACATTTCCTTTTAGGGAGGTGGATTTCACAGGGATGTTTCAAACAGCTTTTTTCTTAAACTAGGTTGTTAAGAACTCTGGTGTTCCTGAAATTCATGTTAAATTTGTTTTCAAGGGGAGATTACTTGTGACTTTCTACAAAGAGCTTTGGGGTGTTTCAAAAATACCTTTGCATCAATATGCTTATTTTTAGTATTCTGTTACAATTGTCAAGAGCAACGATAACATTGAGAAGATTCTCAGAAATTATGAATAAAACGTGTTAAATAACCCTGGTGTCTTCATTGTAGGTCAAAACACAGCTGGAAAATCCGACTCGCTATTTCATCGCACAAAAACAGAAGAGACAAGTGAAAGAATATCTGAAGAATCAGGGCTCACCGTCTTCCGCTGGAGACTTGACGATTGTTAGCAGTGCAAGCCAGCCCACCCTCAATGCTATTAATCAACAAGCTGTGGCCGCCTTATCTGCAAGTCGACTCATGGGACAACCAGAGAGCCCAATGGCAGTTATGAGTCCGGATGGAAACCATCCAAGTGAAGTGAGTGACTATAGGGTTATTTTATAGTTGTAAGTTTCTGATAGAGATAACCTGATTTTTGTATCATATTTTTTCACTTCCTGTGAGTGAAGGGTTGCACAACTGAAAATTGACCCTTCAATTTTGAGGTCCTTTTGATTTTAAAGTCAAAGGAAGGTTTTTTAAATACCTTGGAGAAAATAACATACGAATAGTATGAGCTTTGCAGTGTTGTCCAATTTTTGAGACTATAACTGTCTTGCTAACTAAGTTATTTACCTTTGTTTTCCCTAAAGGTTGATAATTTGCTGGAAGACATAATAAGGTGTGTATAAATACAGTCTATCATCTTATTATCAGAGAAAATATTCACTTCATCTGCATAAATCTATTAGACCTATATAAAACTTGTGTATCATTGTAAGTTTACAACAGGGTATCAAAGAAATCAATCCTTTTTACCATTTTATTGCAGTCTGGAATCAAATCCTGTCGAAGATGGTCTTACATGGGACCCAAGTCTCACCTTAGGCTCGGTTAGTAGAATAAACAATTCCTTGAACTCATAGTACATTTGTCTATGATCAGTTTGATTTTGCTGTCAATTTTTTATCTAAAATGAAACTTTGACATAAAGTTTGCTTCTCTATTCTGTACAGGTTCCACAGGTTGCCTCAGGCAATGTTTTTGATTTGTACAGTGGTCTGGGAATGAATGCCATGGTAAGTTATTACAAAAAAAATGAGTTCAACTTTGTTTGATTGTTATTTTGGAAATTTGGTTGCTCATACATAAGAAGCGACTATTTGATGGGTTCAGAAAAGTCCACTTAATAGTTGTGTGTTTACATGAGGTTGCAAACCTCTTTGTTTTTTTTTTTGTAGATCCAGGCCCCAGCTGCATCATCATGTCCTGCAATGATCAAGCAAGAGCCACAAGGTGAGACTTGGCCTGGTGACAAGTGGAGACTTAAATGTAGTATATATACATTAATAGCCACAGATGTTCAGTTTTCTCGGTGCTTTCTTAGCATTTTCTCCCCAAACTCCCATGAGTGATCAAGACAGAGCTTCTCCTTACAATATCCATACAGTACCAAGCAGACAAATGATGAGAATAAAGAGAAACATTGAAATTGAAGGACAAATTTAAAAATTTTTCCAATTTTTTTTTCCAGATTCAGTTCTTGACCCAAATTTTGCTAAAGACAGGCAGAAGAAGGACAACCACAACATGAGTGAGTATTTTTTTAGTTTTTATTTATTTATTTTTTTGCTATTTTGGAGAATTATATCATAACTTTTTACTATGTTGTACTTGAATTTCTTGAACAGTATGCCCATGTCTGAAACTGTTATCATTTCATGTGTTTTCTACAGTCGAGAGAAGAAGAAGATTTAATATCAATGATAGAATAAAAGAACTAGGAACTCTTCTTCCAAAGCAAGACTCGTAAGTAGAGTTCAATTTTTGACCTTTGCATGTAGTGGTTGTTGTCCTTTGAGAACAATCCAATATGATATAGGAGTTGTTCTCACTTTGATAAATTGTTCCAAATGTGCTCTGGCTAAGTTGTCATTGATGCATTAGATGGTCAGAAGAATATGTTTCATGTTTACCTTTTCAACAAAATTAATTCTTAACATCTTTGTTAATGTCTCAACTCTTCGTTAAGTGCTTTCTCTTTTCCCTTTGTAAGTAGCGATTCTCGGCAAAACAAGGGAACCATTCTCAAGGCTTCTGTGGATTATATAAGGAAGTTAAAACGAGAGCAAGAGCGCATGAGACAGCTTGAGGAAGAAAAGAAGAACACTGAAGAAATCAACAGAAGACTTTTGCTCCGAGTTCAGGTATATAAACATGTTGGTTGAAATTTTCTTCTAGAGGGGTGAAGAAGCATCCCCCATGAAACTCAGATTGTAACTTTGTTTCCTTAGATGTATGAAGTGTTTGATTACCATGGAATTAAAACTGATTCTTGGAAGCAGAACAGATCAGACTGGGGTATTTATATGTTTTATTGTGTGAATTTTCAGGAGTTGGAGATGCATGCTCGGGCACATGGCATTCCCACCACACCCCTCACCTCTGACACAACTACAGCACTATTATCCTCCATTCTAACAGTAAAACCTTCAAGCGATGGAGTGAAAATTAAGCAAGAACCAGTGGACAGTGGGTGTCTATCCAATTCATGTGGCCATGAAAGCCAAGAAGCAATGGAAGACTACTCCCTGCCTTCTTCATGCAATCCAAGCCCACGCTCAAACAGTATGGATGATGACATGACTGATTGAGCTGGCAAATATTCTCTCTGCAATAAACAGACATGCTTATCTGAAATACGAAGGGTGGAAGGTCAGCACACTTGTGTTGGATTATATGACCTCTTTCTTCAGGCCCCTGTATTTGGAGCTCTCGCCTTGAAAAAGAAAGTTGTCAGGACAGTTCTTTACCTTGAAAAGATAACATCTTGCAGCCTTGCAGATGTCATAGATGAAGATGTGCAAAACTGATCCAACTGAACATTATGACAGTAGCTTTAGTATCAGTCAGCGGCAGACTAGTCCAACATGTTGACATGTATCTATGAGATATCACTCAGAAAAGAATTTAGTATTCTTGAGGACATCTCTATATTTGTAGCCACTCACTGGGCTTGGTGTGACTATACCAAAGCCTTGTCTGTAAGTTTGGCAGAGTAGTCCTGTTACATACATGTATCTCTTTAGACCATTTGTTGTGCCATCTGTTGCATGTAAAATTCTTGAGGGCTAATTTTGATGGTGAAACCTTGCTTGCAACTTGCATGGGGGTGATTAAGTTCCTTTTTTTCTCATTACCGGTGCACTGGTGACAAAAGGGAGCACATTTTTAAAGTATGTTTAAAAGAATGCAACACCTTTATGTCTAACAGGACAGTATATCCAAAGTTGTATTAATGGTCTGATATTCAGGCAACAGTTTTTGCTATACATGTCAGCCACATACAACCAAAATGTACCATCAAAATTGGCCCCTGTGAATTTTCGAGTGTTATGTTAGAAATAATTCAAATCATTTCATTAACATCACTTACTGGTTACTTGCACCTATCACTGGGCAGGACTCTTGCTCTTGTGTATTTCAGTGTTCAATAATGATCAAACTAAAACTTCTCCAACATGCATTCATACCAAAATGATATGAAAAAAAAAAAAAGTATTACTGTGAAACTAAGAAAAATGTGAACACTTTGATTTAATTCTTATAGGTGAATTGTGTGCTCATCAAATCTGATGAAATCCAGGATATGTGTTCAAACCTCGAGACCACAAAGTTATCACTGTTTTTTTTTTTTATGCAGTTTAATTTTTCAATTCTTAAATTTATCTGGTGTTCACGGCTATCTAGTTTCACATCCAAAACAAAAACTTTTCTTAAGATGCTAAAACATGTTAGTGAATGGCAGTGTGTTTAAGGTCCATTTTAATTCATGTCGTTATATCTTGCATATATTCAGTATGTTAGCCAGAAGTTTTTTTTGTTTATTTTTATATTTAGAACAAGCCATTAGTTTTTCAAAGCTATAGATTGTTGACCCGGAAGTTCCAGTTGCAGTGAACAATTTCCAACTTTTAATTCTCACAACATTTTTGTGAACAATTTCTAAAATGATGACCAATTAAAATCAGCCTGCACTCTAGATTGACTGAAAAATTGGATGGCTTTTGTCAAACGTGTTCCTGTTTGGGTTCAGAACACTGTTTGGTCTCTCAAGTTTTATTACTTTTGCTTTTGAGCTTTAAATTATTATGAAGTTCTTTAGAGGCATGAGTGAATACCACCCTTTGTTAAGTTTGGAACAGCAGTGATTTAAATTGGAAAGTGTTTGTTTTTTTTTTAACTCAAGAGTGAAGTGTGTAGTATTTTGTTTTTGTTTTGGTTGATGTAGAGCTAAATCCTCGCAACCTAAATAGTGTAAAATGTTTGAGAAAGAGTGAGGAGATTTTCAATTTCAGCTTAGGGACTTGTGCAGGTTAACCAAACACTGTACATAGATGACGGGTGGTTTGAAGGTTTTTTGTTTCTTTTTTTGTTTTCCATGACTAAACATGCATGAAGTTGTAGAAATCAGGTTATGCTCTCTTTATTTTAATCATTTGCAAACGTTTGAAGTAATCACTTGATGCATCTGTCTACAGAGTGGAATGCAAAATAACATTCTTAAATTGCCATCTAAGCACTATTAAAGAGGAATTGAGAAAATTTGATAGTTAGTGTCTATTAGGGATGTGCTTGTGGGGCAATATACAGTTTATTTGGATAGCAATTTTATATTTAAATACCTTTTACGCAGGACACGCAGAGTTATCGAATTAATTAGAGCACTTGTGTTGGCCAAATCGGTTGGAGTCCTTTGGCTTTAGAGTGCAAGATGCGAGTTAAAAAAAATAAATCGAAATAAAGATAATTGTCAAAGGAAACAAAAGATAAAAAAAAAAAACAAACAAACAAACAGAAAATAAAAAATTTGTGTTCCGCGTAGTTTGAGCGGAGTGTCTTTCCATAGTAGAGTTTCAGCCGGGGGTAGCGTTGGGTGTATTCTAAGGGGGGGAAACATACATAGTAGACATGAACATGGAGGGGAGGGTAAGGGAGAGGAAAGATCTGGGTGTGGATGGAGGTCGCTTATTTCTTTCATTTTACTTATCATAGATAATCTTTATCTCCATAGGAAATCCCAATTAATTTAACTTGATACTCTTTGCAAGTAACTTGCTTCAGAAAATAGAGCGGTTTAGGTCGAAGTTGTGTGGACTGTGTATTTTAAAGACTTGGTTTCCAGGAGTGATATCCTGAAACCTTTGATTAATTGTAGCCGTTAGTGTATGAAACACCACTGAAAATCAAATTGGTAAAAGAATGGTCACTGAAGCGTAAGAGAACTGGAAATAACCTGTCCATACTGGTGTGTGTGCACCCAGTTAAAAGTTTAAAATTTTATACTTATTGCAGTGCAGGATATAAAATTTTAAAAGTTTAAAAACCAGGCGGGGGCAATAATTAAAGAACTTTGCCCTTGTTCAGACCGAAAAAGCGATTCTCCATATCCCTTTTCAGACCCAATTAGTTGGCACTATGAAAGGTTTCTCTCTTATCTTAATCTATATCCTAAAAACTATAATCTTCGATTTTTTCCTTTTTACTAAACTTAGTGAGTATTATGGAACGCACCCAGTTGAAAGTTTAAAATTTAATACTTATTGCCGTGCAGGATATATTGGTAAACCATGCGATAAGTGTTTGAATTATTTCTCTTGTTGGTTCGAGGCCCGCGCAGCAAATTTTTGAGTGGGGCTTATGACGAAGCATAAGCTTCAACCAACCAGGCGGGGAGGACAAGTCTTTTTTTAAAAAAGTGGGAAGGCTGAAGCTCCCCCTTCTCGTCGGCCCCTCCTTCTATGCGATCCCTGTGGTTGGTATCGAGCTACAAGTATGTTTTCGTTGATCCAATGTCCCTTCCTACTGGCTATTAAAAACGTAACCTTGAGTTTGATTGGTTAGACGAGATTCTAGCTTCCTATTGGTTGTAAAAACGAAACTTTCGATCTAATTGGTTATACGAGATTCTGGAATTTTTTTTCTCTGTTTTCTTCGTTACCGTGTCATTGGCAGAACCTAGCCAGTATGAATGCATGTTGTTGTTCACACGCAGAAAAGAAATAATATAAAGTTTATTCTGGCGAAAGGAAAACTAGCTTTAGGAAGAAAGCTTCGCCTTAATGAAATACAGCATTGAATTTCAATGCCAGAGGGGTATCTGTCTAATTTAAAACGGCAACAGTTCTCTTTGTAGACTAATCTATAGAAGCAGGAGCTAAAAAAATGTGAACATTTTCAAGTTAATGTCAATATATAAATACCTCATGATACCAGGAGCCAATTACTTGGGGCTTTCACGTGCCCTTTGTTTATGTCACGGTGTTTTCACAGACAACTCTTTTTTTTTAATTTAGCGCGAAATGGGATTCCACACAGATGCTCTCCGAACAATCACGATTAGCGCGTATTTTCTGGGAAAAGATAGTTTGAAAGTAAATCGTTCTGTGAAAATGCCGTGACATAGGCTCAGTTTGGGAGTTGAACGGTCCAAGTGATGGTCTCCTGATGATAGTTAGATCTATCTTAAAGAACCCACTCGCGTTTTCCCGCGTCTAAGACAGCTTCCTTGTTCGTCGTTAAGTTCTCATTGGCTATTTGTGATGTTTCCCATCTCTCTGATTGGCTAAACCTTTTATCCGTCTTCAATACAACTGGTTTAGGGCAAGAATAGTAGCTTCAACACCCTATCTTTCTAGCTCTGTTGACAGGAATTGTGCCTCAAATGTCTCTAGTTGACTGACACTGTGATTTGACCGCGTTCTTCACTCATAAGTGCTTTTAAGGTTGATGTCATATTTTCTGGGTATGCAGACATCTTTACTCCGATCCACATGGCTCGTAACCATAGGAGGATTTGAACTACTTTTGTCCGACGAAGGTTTGATAAACACTGCATCGGTGGAATTTATTGAAGGATCGGCGTCGAAGTAATTGAACGGCCGAAGAAAAAGCCTCGCCGTGTTCGTAGGCGAGGCAGCGTTCGGGATATCTTCGGTGCTCGGAATTTGGATACATCCAATAGAAACCCAAACAACGAGATCTTGATCGGAGATGTGGCTGTTGTCCCCTAGGAATTCTTCGAAGTTGACAATGGGTGAGGTTGGGCTGTTCTGATTATACACTGAGCTGCTCTTTAGCTCACCATCTTTGTAACGTGTAACAGCAAGTGGATATATCGACCACGGCGCCATCTTTGTCTGAGGATCTTCTTTCGGAAGAATTTGTTTCACAGCAGATGTTGGTATAACAAGATATCCCCTTTTTACGTCAAACTTATTTTTTTCATCACTGTAAACGTTATAAAAAGTTGGTTTCTCAAAGTCGATTTTCTGAATCGCTGCGTCATTCTCCAGTTTTAGCTGTTCTTTGCGGAATTCCATTAAATTATCTCTTTGCGGTGGAAGCCACTTATTTGGTGTGTCTTGGTTGACGATTGTGATTTTTTCAAAATAATTAGAGGTACCATAGACATCGAGATCAATTTTGTAATGGAAAATGTGATCGTGCAAGTTTCCCAGCAGTTTGTTCTCAATATATTGCCCATATTGCTCATCGGAGCCTGCTTGTCTATTCTCTGTTTGTACGTAGCCAGTGGGTGTCGATTTAACCTCTACAACGCCATTCTGATAGAACACAAAGTCGAAGACGATGTCATAGTTGCGCAAAGTAGCAATGGTGCGAAGTACTAATACATGATTGGTTAATCCTTCATAGAATCGGAATTTTTTTCCATTCGCTTCGAAATGGCGCCTGAGTGGAATACCGCTGTCCATTTCAAAAACGCACACCGCATTCTTGATTACTTTCGGTTTGTTGGTGTCCACGAAATGCATGGTGTCGAAAAACTTGGATGTCTCTGGACAGTCAACACCGGCCACTAGTTCCAAAGACCTTGCACCCATTGTCCAACCACCATACACAAAATTGGCGGCCCTGAACTATGGGGAGTAGCCAGTGTTAAATGATATGGCTTCCTGTAGGCTAAGTTCGTAGATTATTCTTCTGTCTTTAAATCGAATGTTGTAGAGTTGAGGACCTGAAACTGAATCCATTCGAAAGTCGAAGGTCCAACTCATGTACTTGACATGGTGACCGCTGACACTAAATCTTCTTCCATCGGGCTCAAACATCCTCGGGGCTCGCCTGGAACTCTGAGATTGGGGGATTTCACGATTTTCGTACGACGAAAATAAAGGTGGCTTTGGCGCGGGGATGACTGATTTTTGATTGTCTAGCGGTCTATCATACTCAAATACAAGGTCTTCGATGGTGTTTTATTTTTATCCATTGTAATAAACTTTGGTTATTTTCCATTTTGAGACGTCCGCGCCAGCGAAATTTATGTAGAGTTGAAAATCAACTGGGTTCAACGATTCGCCTTCTAGATCTCGAGTAAATTGCAGCCACGTCGTTCGCTCGTCCCTAGTTTTACCAAAGGGTGTCTGTGGGTAAAATTTCAAGAGCCTGTTTGTACAGTTATTATAGCAGTATCCATCATAACTCTCATTTAAAATCTTAAAAGCCTTGCTCGTGGCTTCCATAACGATCTTCTCCAAGGCCTTGTGTTGTACTTTATCATAAGGGCGAACGTTGAATCCAAGAGGATTGCCGCGTTCTTTGTACGTCATTTCCTTGACGTTGCTGTTCGGCCAAGTTACAATGTACTCGCGGACTACTGGTGGGTTGGAATCACCTTCGAAAACAACAACAAGCGCTTTTCTAGCCGGCCGCGGCCTGCCTTTCTCTAAATAATCCAGAACTGCTTGTTTCCCAGGTGGATAGAGCTGGATCATGTAAATATAGTTTTCCTTCACGGAAGCGTTTTCAATGTTCTTTAGTTTCAGTGAGGAATTTTTTAACATGAAATCCCTCGCAGCGACCATTTCTTCGCGAGAAAGTTCATTAAAGATGTTTTGAGTCTTCGGTACTTCCCCAAGTTCGAGGGTTTTTTCGTCGCACAAGTTTGTTTCCAGGTTGCTTGGATATTTTTCTTTGTACTGTGCGAAATCCACCGCAATCACGACCAGAGCTATCAGTAAACCCACACATAGTAAGACTAGAACGGTGACAGCAATTTTCCATATGATGGGCACACTTACGTTTCCCTTCCCATTCATGACGATTGAGAGAACGTTAAATTAAATCATGCCGATAAACATCGAACTTGGAAAAACACGCGAAACGCCCCAGAGACCGCGCGTCAAAAATTAACTCACTTAATGTCGCCGATATCCTAAAATCCAGTCAATCATAAATTGCAGGAACTTTCGCGGGATGATGAAGACGTACAAAATCAGCGCCTGAGTGTTTAAATATTCATGTTTTTTGTTATTGTCACCTTTTTCTCTGAACCATCTGTCAATCAGTGATTCATTCACTGCAAACTACTTTACATGTCATACACCTAGGAGAAACACTTTGGAAACGTCTCGGAGTTTTGATGGGAACAACAAAAGGTGTTTATGAAATTATGAAATGAAAAGCGAAAATCATCTCTTATAAGAACTGAAAAAGCGTTTTATTCGGTGGACTACCCATTACTAATAGTCGTTAAAAACAAACCCAGAAATAAAATGCATTCTATAATTTACATTTTCTACTTTGGC